TACTATATGTGCAGAAACATTCCCTATGTATGATATATTAGCAAATTAATTCGGACTATAGTTATTTTCAGCCAAGATCAGACCTTACAGATTTCTTAGTTATTTGAAACTTCAATATTTGAACAGTGATTTTTTTTAAACAACTTAGCTTTTTATTTTTAAGGTTTTACGTTTTTGACTATCAGCCCATAACCTCAAGTCCTCTTAAATTAGTACCCTCATAATTGTCTCTGTTGCTATCAATTATAGTACTTGAAAATGAACCACATCTGAGAAAAGGTTTGTGTTTAGTTCAAACAACTCTTTTTTTTTTAGCTACATGGAAAATGAGTACATGTGCTAAAGTGTCGTTTTAATAGTTCTGAGGCTTTAAAAAATATTTTCCTTTGACATATTCTTTTAGATATTATTATTAGTTTTTGCTCCATATTATTAGGAGGAAAGAAATAAATTGAGGTTAATGACCTTGGAAAAAGTCAACTCTTTTATATGTTTCATTGCTACAGAAGTTTTACATTTTTATGAAAAGACATATGTAAATAAATTATACATAAAAGCCCTAGGACATACTACAGGGAAGGAATAGTTTTTATAACTAGGGTTAAAATAGAATAAAAAGCCATTATAGTACTCAGTGAAAATTTAAAATCTGTTCTTTCTCATGCCTTAATAGTTGTGTTGAGTGTTTCTATAGGACTTTAATTCACAATCAAATAGCTCCATAGTCATTTGCTTTTGGGTGAAAAATGCATTTTTTACTCTTTTGAAGATGCCCATATATGTCAGATCATGGTAATAGTGCCATGAATTACTATGACTTCCTTATCTCAGGTAACTCAGAGGCCTTGGTGAGAAATTCCCATCTATGCTCACATCTCCCTTCATTTCGCTCATTCATTCAACCAGAATGCCTGCTTACTTTCAAATGTGAATAAGATACTATTCCTGTAGCCCAAGAAGGAATATAAAAAGACACATTCACGTTAGTAATGACAGAATTGAATCTTTTCATTTATAGCTAAAAATACAGGTAGTGACGTCTATGTGAGTTTGGCACAGAATGACTTTGCCACTTCTTTATTTAGTCTGTTCATCCCATTGTGGGGAGAAATTTACTTGGATGGTTCATTTTATTAAATGATAATCACGTCCATGTGCATATTACTGTAGAGTGTGCTATCTAATATGGTATTTCCTAGACACATGTGCTATTTAAATTTCGGTTAATTGTAATATTAAATTAATGAGAAATTTAAAAAAATACTTTAAATTAAAACAAATTTAAAACTCAATTCTTCATTTGTACTTGCCCTATTTCATGTACTTCCTTGTACCATATTGAACAAGGAAGACTATGGATTATTTCTATCATCTTAGAAAGCTCAAATTGTATAGCACGGTTCTACACTTCTCACTTGTTCCTCACAATAATCCTATAAAATGGCAAAGTGTACAATATTATTTATATTCAAAACGATGAAGAAACTGAAGTTTCAGGAGGTTAAAAAGTATGTCTTTTCACAGAATGTGACTTACAGAACTTCCTCTGGGAGCAAATACAGGCAAAAGTAAATACAAAGGAAAAAAGGGTTTAGTCTGCCATTTCTTATTTTAAAATGTAAGTGTCTGAAAAGCAAAGATGTGGTATAGCTTGTTCAATGTTTTATCCCTAAGATCTACCACAGAGCCTGACTCAGGCTAAACACTTACTAATTACTAAATGAATGAACCAATACATGTAATTTTTGGCCCAAGTCGAGCTTAAAGTTTAATATAATTTTGAAAATGTGTATATCTATACCAAAGGAACTACTGTGTTGATAGGTTATAATTGAAGTTCTGGTTAGCAAGTGAAGAAAGGTTGAAAGCTATATTCTTTATTCTGCTTGTGATCTCTTTTTTAGTATAGTCATAACTAGAGAACAATGAACTTTTCTACTCTTTGTTGGATTCAACCATTTGAAAGGATTGCAATAATTCTGTGAGTGTGTAGACACTGTTTCCTAGCAATAGGTTTCAATAAACTGTTGCTGCAAACCTTTACCCGGCATAGCTGTTCTTGCTGTGTATTTGTTTTTAATCTACAAAACAGTAGCTTTAAAATAACATTTAGGGGTCATGAAAATAAATAGAATATGATCAAGAGACTGCCTTTAAAAATAATTATGTTTTATTTTAGAATGGTGTTTAAATGATGTACATCAGTTATATTTCATTATAACTGAAGTGCACAGCTATTACAATAGAAAGTATATTGCCACAAATACAGATTTCCTCTTTTGAAAGAGGAAAGGGATAAAGTAGTAAGTAATTATGTTTTCCAAAACTGGCTTTTATAATATGTGATTCTAGTATTACATTAGCTTTTAATAATATATAATAATAATGTGATTTACTGATATTAACCAAGAAGGCAAATATGTAACCTATAGAAGCATCAGTATTGTTATTATCATTAAATGAGATCTATGAATTTTTGTTTGCTTGCTTTCATGGCTTTTAAAAGAGCAGTCAGTAGTATGAAGGTATTTATTCTTCATCATAATTAAAATATGTAGCCATTACAAGCATCATCAATAATGGAGTTGACAGATCTTTGCTGGGTTAAAAAAAAAAAGATGTAGATGCTACCAAATTAAAATACCTAATGCAGTTAGTTAATCATAAACCAAAATGCTTTACTGATAATTTATCACAGAATTGTCTTTCTTGAATAGTCTCTTCACTAATCGTTCTTAGCCTAGATTTTCTGATTCTTAAGGTTAATTGTCAACAACCTGGAAGGGCTGGAATAGATGTAGATATGCTTAGTAATAATTTAAATTCACTTCAAAGTCATATGTTCAGGGATTTCTTAAGAATATGTGCACCCTTTGTTCAGCCCTTTCAGCGTGGTCATGGCACATGAGGCTTAAAGGTTGCAAAATCAAAGAAATAGTAATGATGTGTGGTGGTTTCTTGGGAATCTCCATTTTACAAGCAGAAGTTCAAAGCATTTTATATTAGGGAAGCTCAACAACTCTGAAGCAATGTAGAAGCTGAAATAAGAAAATTTTCATGTCTAGATTTTGCACATTTTCTTTGCCTGTGTTAAAGAAGAATGGAATACTTCTGAATTTGTCCCTTTTGATTCAAGTTTAAGTGCCCGAGTAAGTACCTGCTTGATGGCTGTCCATTTAAATCATTTGTTTTTTTGGAAATAAGATTTCTCCTTGTCTCTAGTGAATTGGGAAATATATGCAGACATTATACAATATTATATATTGCATTTCAGTGCAACATTTAGTTGCGTTAGTCACTTAAAAGCTAGATTAGAATGTTTTAGACTGTACCCTTGACTTTATGGCTTTGACATCACACCATTGGCTGTCAGGTTTCTGCCTGAGAGGGTGCCCTGTTAGTTTTCTGGTGAGATGATACTCTGTTATTGACAGACTAAAATCTATGTGCTCTATGTTGGATAGAGACATTATCTAATGCAAAACATTGTAATCCTTTGATTAAAGGCTGTGGGAGACTTTCATAAATTATTATCTTAATGTATAGTAAATGTTAAGTTGTTTATGTATCAATGCACATTTCCTAAAACTATAATTACTGGACATAAATTTAGAGGTTGCCCCAATTGAGACATAAGGAGTCTTTTGGCCAGAGAGGTTCAATAACTCAATCAGTTTCACACCTTTCTTTAGTAGCAGAAGGAAAACTTAGATCTTAGTCCTGTATATATAATAGAGGTACACACATATCTCTCAGTGCACTACAGGAATATTATTTGCATTTTAAGTGGAGCCTTTAAATGATTTTGAGATGCCTGAGACTTTTCTCATGGAGTGATTTGGATATGAGCAGTGATCACACGTGTCATTTTTGAGCAGCTGTTGAAGAAGGCAGAACATGATTATGCCACTTGCTTAATATATTACATCTGGTTGCTGGAAAAATTCAAAAATTCACTGGTGGTTGGAAGGGAAAATTTCTCCCTTTTTGGAGCATTTCATTCAAAAACTCTTTTTTAAACTATGAATTTTGCCTACTCAATAGTGGTGCTTAATTGAGCTGCCTGTTGAGGTGCACACTGAGAATGGAGGAAGAGTTTTATATAAAGTGCCCTTTGAAGGCTTTTGTAGCCTTGATACCATGAAATTTCACAATTTGGGAAGGGAAGCAGAGCTGTAGTGATTTTTATGGTGGAATTATTTTATTTTGGTGTTTAAACATCCGCACGATTTATTCATGGGAGCTGGGGGTCCATCACAATGAGACAGAGCCTTAATCAAATAAGGAAGTCCCTGGAAGGTTTTCTTCCATTCATTTGTCCTAGATTGTGAAACATTTGAAACTCTTTACATTGGTCCTCTTTTACCAAGATTTACTGCCCACTCCAATTCATTTTATTTTTAGTGTCATGGTGCATGGTTGGGGTTTGATGATAAGCCATTTTGCTTGGTTCATTTGGCACCTTTATTTTACCCAAAAGATAGACCTCATCTTTGCCAGCAGCCTCAGAGCTGTAGGAACTGAACAGAAGATTTCCTTGGAGAATGTCTGCATTGAGTAATCTCTGAGCAAACTGCCTTTGGTTTTGACAGCCACCCTTAGCTTTTCAAAAAGAAATCTTATGTGATTTGGATGCTTCTGTAGGAATGTGATTTCAAGGAGGCAGTAGTAAAACCTACTCCGTTGAGAATTGTTTTTTCTTAGCTTTTTAAAAGTACATATTATTAAATCTTTTGAATTAGTTTTAGTGCTTTTATTACTTACCTTCATCTATTACTTTGGCCTAAAATGTTTGGCATAATGAACCTCTCAAAGAGTAGCTGTTGAGAAATGAAGAGTGAATTTATTTGGCTCTGATTATTCAAGTGATTTTGTAATAAGCAGAAGTACTATTGTATTTTTTGATGTGAAATACTTGTCAGTATCTCCCCTTCCCTCTGCAGGGAGCCCACTGAATTCATGACATGTTTAAAGTAACATCCATTTGTTTTACTCTCTAGGTCACTTCAGGTGGGACGTTCATTGGCATCGGACGGAAAACACCAGATTGCCAAGGGAACACCAAGTATTTCCGCTGTAAATTCTGCAATTTCACTTATATGGGCAATTCATCAACTGAACTAGAACAACATTTTCTTCAGACTCACCCAAACAAAATAAAAGCTTCTCTCCCCTCCTCTGAGGGTGCAAAACCTGCAGAGAAAAACTCTAACAAATCCATCCCTGCACTTCGACCCAGTGATTCTGGAGACTTGGGAAAATGGCAAGACAAGATAACAGTCAAGGCAGGAGATGACACTCCTGTTGGCTACTCAGTGCCCATCAAGCCCCTTGATTCCTCAAAACAAAATGGTACAGAGGCCACCAGTTACTACTGGTGTAAATTTTGCAGTTTCAGCTGTGAGTCATCTAGCTCACTTAAACTGCTAGAACATTATGGCAAGCAGCACGGAGCAGTACAGTCAGGTGGCCTTAATCCAGAGTTGAACGATAAGCTTTCCAGGGGCTCTGTCATTAATCAGAATGATCTAGTCAAAAGTGCAGAAGGAGAGCCAATGACCAAGGCAGACAAGGGCTCGAGTGGGGTGAAAAAGAAGGACTTCTCCAGCAAAGGAGCAGAGGATAATATGGTAACAAGCTATAACTGTCAGTTCTGTGACTTTCGATATTCCAAAAGCCATGGCCCCGATGTAATTGTAGTGGGGCCACTTCTCCGTCATTATCAACAGCTCCATAACATTCACAAGTGTACCATTAAACACTGTCCATTCTGTCCCAGAGGTCTTTGCAGCCCAGAAAAGCACCTTGGAGAAATTACTTATCCATTCGCTTGTAGAAAAAGTAATTGTTCCCACTGTGCACTCTTGCTTCTGCACTTGTCTCCGGGGGCGGCTGGAAGCTCACGAGTCAAACACCAGTGCCACCAGTGTTCATTCACTACCCCTGATGTAGATGTACTTCTCTTTCACTACGAGAGTGTACATGAGTCTCAAGCATCGGATGTCAAACAAGAAGCTAATCATCTGCAAGGATCAGATGGGCAGCAGGCGGTTAAGGAAAGCAAAGAACACTCATGTACCAAATGCGATTTTATTACCCAGGTGGAAGAAGAGATTTCCCGACACTACAGGTAAGCCATATGAGCTGCAGGGCACCAAGAAAATGATAGAAAGAATCCACAGATAGAAAGAGGGCTGAACCAGGAATTGTTGGAAGTGATTTTGATGACTTCGGGGAGTTATAGGGCCAGGTCACATAAAAGATCATTCATAGATTTGCAGATAATATATTGATTGATGTGATGACCACAGATTTCAATTTAGTCATTTGTTTCAGATCATGTAAAGTTGTTTCCTATCGATTTTATACCATTTACTGTGTGTTTTTTTTTTTAATTCACAGTGATGCTGATAATACTGATGAGGTTACTAACTTACCATAATCTGTTTATTTGTCCTTGCTAAGTATCTCATAATTTTGTCATCTCATAATTTTTGACAGAGCAGCTCCCAAATTAAAGGGGCTATTATAGTATATACTGTACTCCGTTCCAACTCAGAAACAATCATCTTGAGAACACGCTGCTTATTTTTCTTTTATAATGAGATTGGACATTCTTCTAATTTTGAGAAATTGTGCATCATTCTGTTTGGCATCCAAACAGTAATCTAAAGGTGAGAATTTAGTAATATGTGTGACTTTGGATGTACACTTGCTCCTCTGAGCAGATAAATCTGATTAAGTTATTTCATATTCTTAAATATGCAGGGTATGTTTGTGATTTTCTTCTACTTTTACCCTGTTCTTTTTATAAAAATTAATTTTCCAAGTAAATCTTTTATACACTTTAAAGGTGAGTTTAGGATACATGCCTTTATTTTATTTATATATTAATTAATTAATTCCAAAAATACACATCATGCCAGGCATTAAATATGCAGGAGAAAACAAGACAAACAGTCAGTGCCCTCATGAAAGTTACAGTCTAGTGGGGAGGACAAGTCACTTAACACATCATGATGAGAGTGTTGAGTGTCATAAAAGACAAAATACATTTGAATATAATGATAATATACCCAAATATGGTGGATTAGGAAATTCCTCCCCAAGGAAGCCACATTTAAACTAAGAATTGGTTATAAGTAGGAATTAGTTTAGGAAAGCCCTGGTAGTACATAGTCTTTCAGGCATTACTTAGCACTTATTAGGTGCTTTCTTGTGATTATGCGTCTAGGCTTCAAAATAAAGAGCTTTATTTACTGTTTTTAAGTGTTTTTCTACATGTAGCTTCAAAAATCATAGTTTAAAAATCTAGTTATTTCAATAAACACTTCCTTCTATTCCTTTTAAAAGTTATGTATTAGTGTGAGTGTATCTACATTTTTTTAGTCATCAGTAATGAAGCAATTCATGTCCAACAATAGACTAATAATGTTAGATGTTAATTTGAAGGGCATCCTAATGTTCACAGTGAATCAAAATGTTCAGAAAACACTTACTTGAGATTTACACTGTTTAATTTATAAGGTCAGCCCTAGGAAAGACACAGTCCTGCAATCAAATATGTGTTCACACTTGCAATGAGTATTTCTGGTTTCTCTGATGTTAGCTGCATGTTAATTTATTTCTGAGGCTAGCAGACATCAGCTTCTTTCTGAGCTTTACTAGCGTGGATATGTGCCTATTTGCATATTTGTGCATGTACATTTGTTAAGCGATGTGAAAATTAGGTAATCCATTGTCTTTTTTATGTTTCAAAAGGGATGGTATTTTTGAGAAATCATCATGATTTTCTTTAATCATGAAAAAATCAGCCAGTACACACACGTGCACATGTACATGCGTGCACACACACGCACTCATTCTGATACATCTAGCTACCAGATCATTTGGGCAAGCAGTTTTTCTCAAGGCAGCTGAGGTCATTGCTTGAAAACCTGTCTGGGAAAAAAGGGTTTCCACATGATTTAGGTAAACAAAATAATCCCTCAAGAAGTAAAAGTATGAATAAAAATATTACTGAATAATGTCAGGATTTAGTTAATATTCAGTGATGAAAGTAAGCGCCAGAGAGAAGAGACTATTCATTTCTTGTTCGCCACTGTATCTGCATGATTTAACACAGTGGCAGGAGGCCTCATAAGAGCTCAGTGAATATCTTTATGTAAATGAGATCCCTATGAGTTTTTGACTTCACAGTTGTTATGAATAATCTGAGATCTCCAAGGTGAGTTACATATTAATCTTTCACTATTACATGGCCTTGGAACCCTTCTGAGGACCTAGGGTTTCTCACCAAATGACAGTTGTCTGTTCATTTTGAATTTACTTCAACTTCTCAGCATTTTATCAGCTAAAAAATTACTGCGTTTGTCCCTTGGGCATTAAAATACTCTTGCACTCATTTTTAAATCTTGTTGTAGTCTGGCTGATCAGAGATCCTTTAAGGTGCTGAGTAGTTTAGCTTCAATCTGTTTAAAAGTTCTTATAAAAGCATTTGAAAATCAGAGCCTTAGAATTCCAGGAGTCACAGCTTGGTAGGAAGTATAAAGAAACTCTACTGAAAGTTGAACAACAAGGGAGGCCCAGGAATATGAAAGGAAATAGTCATATTGCTGTTTAAAATTTGATCTACTACCAAAGCATTTTCCCAAAATGCCACATTTTGAAGATATAATAAGAGAACAAGTTTGCCTTGGCACAATAACATCTTTCTTATTAAGTTTGTTTACTCATATTATTTATATTGGAAAAATTCTACCATAATTTTATGTTATTGCCGTGGAATATTCTAGGCTTTTGAGTGCTTTATATACAAGACGTGCAGTGTAGTAAAAATGAGCATAAGCCGTGAACTGTACAATATTTAAAATCATTTAGCTGTAAGATAACTATAGTTGAGAAGCAATAGAGCTCTGAGTGAAAAACCTGTGTGGATTCCTTTGCATGGGTATTTTCCTTCCTAAGTTTAACCTGGTTGAACTGCAAACATCGTCTGTCCAGCAACTGGGATTTGGCCAATTTTCTTAACGTTTCATATTTACCTATAGTACCCCTAATTAAGATCTTTAGTAAGTTATTATATTCCACTCATGAGTTTGCTTTTCTGACTGCATTTCTTTTATTATCTAATTCCATAGTATACCTATTCTCTATTGACCACTGTTCTAAAGTAGATGGTTAAAAAAATACAGATATCAAAAATCTTAATGAACATGTATGGATTAAACTTTCTACTGAAAAGATATTATCAGACTATATTTATAAATTCAACTGTATGTTGTCTACAGGATATACACCTAAAATGTAAGACTCTGGGCAGTTTGAAAGAAAACAATAAGGAAAATTGAAGTACTCTTGTTAATAACATACAACTTAAAGACTTTAAGACAAAGGGCATATGAAGGAAAGAAAAAATCATTATGTAATGATAAGAGATTTTATTCCTTAAGATGCTACAATAGTTCTGAATATATAAAATATGAACATAAATAAATATAAAAAGATAAAGCAGAAGTTGACAGAAGAACTATAGGAAAAATATGAGAAAACATGATCACTGTGGTAAATTTTAAGAAACTTCTTATTAAAAGTTAAGCACCATCTGGGGGATGGTCATGCTGGAAACTCAGACTTGTGGGGGGAAAGGGCATTTATTGAAACCTTAAAATCTGTACCCCTATAATATGCCGAAATAAAAAAAAAGTTAAGCAGAAAGAAATTTTCAAAATTTAAAAGACTTGAACAAAAAATTAACAAATTGATTTAATAAAAATATACAAATTCTGTACCCAACAATTAGAGAATGTACATGCTTTTCAAGAAGGTATAGACTAGTTATAAAAACTGACACATATTATGCCAAAAAGAAATCAGATTTCAAAAACAGTATTCTATAGAACATATCCTTTGACTCGGTGTAATTTAGACATCAATAACAAAAAGATCAAGATAAAATTATATAAGGCACATCCTAACCAAACAAAACATGAGATCACCTTATTAATCTCCAAAAATAATAGACTTTAAGACAAACATTATAAGAGATAAAAAGAATGAGTACATATGATTTTAGAAAACTAATTTAGCAAAATTTGGCAATATCAGATATTCATATTCCCAATGACTACATAATTTTGCTCCTCAGAAGAAAACCTTTAGCATGGGTGTGCTAGGAAACTTTTGCAAAAATGTTCATAATTACATTTTTTGAAAGAACAAACCAATCACAATGGAAAAAATAATATCTGTTCATAAGAGATTGATAATTCATAGAATTTTCATACAGGTGGGATATTATACAGTAGTGAATTTGAATAATGACAGTTGACTAAAACATGGATGAATCTTACAAGCATAATTTTGTCTAAATAAAAACAAATGAGGAAGACTATTTCCACTAGATAGATAACATTTTATATTGGTTCAAAACTAGCAAAACTATATATAAATATTTATATATAGTCATATATATGCCATATATATTTTAATGCATATTCATATACATATATTCTACTGTACCACTTTCTTTATCATATATAATCTATCTGTATCTACATATAGATATCTCTCTTTCTACACACATATATATAGATATCTATTTACCTATCCATATAAAATCATATTTTATGAATCTATGGGTATGTTCCAGTCTATAATTTGTGAACTTAGATATAAACATATATATGTATATATTTGTTTATTTGTGCATCACTAACAATAAATTGTAACATTTTAAAATAAAAAATGAAGCATCAATTCTCACCAGTGCACATGTCCAGTAAATATGTGAATGAATTCTCAATCTCCCTTACTATTAAATAAGTACATAAAAATCAGTAATATAATTGTTGTCTACCAGCAAATATTAAAATGTCCATTGTTAACTAGAATGTAGAAAAATGTACACAGTTTTTGGTAGCACATGTGATGACAAAAGATCTGTTAGGAGATTTATGAATGCATTTTAAAATTTTAAACAGTTTTTGTACCTTTTAGACATAAAATATGTAAACTCAGGATTAAAGTATTAACATTGGATACAGTAGATGGTCAAATTAATGTAGCTACTGCTTGATCTCTATCTTAAAAGCACTCTGTGAAAGAACTTAGACTGTGTGCTCTACTAAT